GCTTGGAGTCTGGGAGACACTCCCTGGGCTTCTTCCTCAGCTGGACGGCTCAGCCCTGGCTTTGGGCCCTGCCAGTGTCTCCATTGGCTCCTGAGAGTCACCTCACCCAGGTGGGGGATCTGAGAACAAGGCTGGAGCTTGTCCGGGCATGAGTGGGAGAAGGGCTGGGGCATGGGTCAGGAAGAACTGAGGTTGGGAACACAGTCCTGCGGTTGCTCAGCGCCAGCCCCAGAGGCCAGGCTCCCGCAATGTGGAGACGTGCCCCCAGCCCTCGTCTTAGGGCAGCTGTCCGAAGGCGGCGGGTTGACTATCCTGGGTAGTCTCCTGGCGCCATCTCCTGGTCAGAGGCCCTCAGTGCAGGGAAGACAGGGAATTCTCTGGCTGGACCATCTAAGCATGGGCTTTGGGCGAACAATGGAAAAGGTGGCTGTATAATGAGAAAGACCTTGTTGAAATGCCACCAGTCTGGGACACCTTGGAAAACTCACTAGCCTTCCTGAGTCTTAGTTCCTTAGTTGGTAAAACAGAGAGAATAATTTCCACCACTACCTGCCCAGAACAGCAGATAGAACATCCAGCGCAGGGTGGGCAGTGAAGAAATGAAAGGTACCTGGTGCCGATGACCCAGATATCCCTGGAGACTGGGGTGCGCTAACGGAGCCCAGAGCTGGGCTTGGAATGGATTCATTCAGTTAACAAACATTTATTAAGTACTTATTGTGTGCTAGGGCCGCTCACATACAGAGTTTCACTTAATTCTTACAACAGCTTGTGTGGTAGGTACCAATGAACACTCCCATTTTACAGATGAGAAAACTACGAGGAAGGATAAGTGAGATGATTCAAAGACAGTGAGTGAAAGTGTCCCAGGCAGAGGAAACAGCATGCAATGTGCCCAGGGGCTGGAGAGCCTGGTGGGGAAAGCCCTGGTGGTGGCACCTGGGGTTCTGCTTGAGGTTTTATGATGGGCCACCCCTCCTCAAGCTTCCCACCTGGTCCCCTCTTCACACAGCTTATGCCATGCTCTGGTTGCAATATTTATTCTTCAGTTCTCACCTCCTGCCTGGGATGCCCTCTTCATTCTATGTGTCCGGGTCACCTCTGCTCTTTAAAGCCCAGCAGCAGACATGCCTTCTCCAGAAGCCCTCCCATGACCCCTAAGACCTGAGCTCTCCCTCCTAGGCCCACTCAGAGGGCAGGAACTGAGACCCAAGCCCTATTCTGGGGCTGACACCTTCAGGAAGTCCTTGGAGCTGCTCCCATTCTTGGGACAGACACCTTAGTGGGGGTTGGGGGTGACCGCAGGAGGTCATCCTGGGAATCCAGTGGTGTTGGACTGAGGCCATGCATCGTTACCCTCCTGAGCTCCAGCACAGCACAGATCAGACCAGGATATCCACCCTCTCAGTTGGCACAAGCGACCTCCTAGTACAGACTTGAATAAGCTTGTGCACAACTGACCAAGTGTTTTGTTTTTGAATATCTATTTATTTATTTATTTGGCTGCACTGGGCTTAGTTGCGGCATGCAGGATCTCCACTGCCGCATGCAGGATCTTTCGCTATGGCACAGGGCTCTCTAGGGCACGAGGCTCAGTGGTTGCTCTGCTCCGGCTTAGTTGCCCCATGGCATGTGGAATCTTAGCTCCCCAATTAGGGGGTCGAACCCACATCCCCTGTGGATTGGAAGGTGGATTCTCAACCACTGGACCACCAGGGAGGTCCCTGATCAAGTGTTTATTGGCAGTTCAAATCTGAATTTTCTCAGTTTGGTCTAAACTTTTGATCTCGCCAGAGTCACACAGTGAGTAGGCGCCAAGATAGAATGAGGACCTGGAACTCAAACTCCTGAGCAGGGATCGTCCCCTGCACCATTCTGTCCCTGCTCCCCTATTTGCCTCCTCTGCTCCAAATGAAAGCCCGTCTCCTCCAGGTCACCCCCTGAGTACTGTCTCCACCACCAGAGCTGGCCCCCTTGGGACAGCAAGGAGCCATAGCTCCTCCTCTGATTGTCCTAACAGCTGGCTCGGTGGTGAGGAGCAGCCAGAGGAGGGCTGGCACAGGCAGGGGAGAATGCACCCAGATAAGTTCTTGGAGCATCAACTCTGCCCCCACAACCTACACCCCTCACTCCCAGGGAGCTCTGGGCCTGCAGTGTTGAAGGGACTAGTGACTGCTACATGGGGGAATGTGGGAGGATCTGATGGTTTATAGTCACTCAATGCATGCTTGTGAAGAGAGGGAAAGAGGAAGGGAGAAGGTGGCTGAGTAAGTGAGCACCTAGGTGGATTGTCAGGAGTGAGCTATTGAATGAATGAAGAAAGGGGGGATAAGATTGGGTTTGACGCCTATAGACTACTGATACCATGTCTAAAATAGGTAACTGATGAGAACATACTGTGTAGCACAGGGAACTCTACTTAATACACTGTGATTACCTGAATGGACAGAAGTCCAAAAGGGAGGAGATACATGTATACATATGGCTGATTCGTTTTGCTGCACAGTAGAAATGAACGCAACATTGCAAAGCAAATATACTCTAATAAAAATTAATTTAAAAATCTAAAAATATCAACACCCCCCCCAAAAAAAAAAAGAATGGAGGGATGGATGGAGGAGTGACCCAAAAGGTGGGTCTGGGTATTACAGCTGAAGTGTTAGTCGCTCAGTTGTGTCCAACTCTTTGCAACCCCATGGACTATAGCCCGCCAGGCTCCTCTGTCCATAGAATTCTCCAGGCAAGAATACTGGAGTGGGTAGCCATGCCCTCCTCCAGGGGGATCTTCTTGACCCAGGGATTTAACCTGGGTCTCCTGCATTGCAGGCAGACTTTATCTTCTGGACCAGCAGGGAAACTCCTATTACAGTTAAAGAGGGCCCAAAAGTTCTGCAATCACCAGACTACTCATTTGATAGATAAGAATACTGAGAGAGGGCTGAGGAGAAAGGAAGCTGCCAGATCTGTGGGGCTGGCCTTCCATCAACAGTCTCTGCCCTCTCCACCTCTCTCTGCATCCTCATCACCCGGTTTCTTCTGCTGGGGTGAGGAGGGTTCCGGGAAACAGAACTTTTCTCCTTCAGCTTCCTTGCTCCTTAGATTCAGTTTCCATCAGGCTTTGGTGTGGAGGGCGGCGGGGAGGGGGCAGCCCCGCAGGGGCTATTTCAGTCAGAGACAGACGTGGCAGGAAACAGAGGAAGCTGCCCTTTCAGCGGTATCACAGCCTGGGCCAAGAGCAGAAGAGTGGAGAGCTTCGTGTCTGGCCTCCCCTTGACCCAACACACTTGGGGCCACCAAGGCGTGCGTTTCGGGGACAGGAGGCTGTATGTGAGTGTTGGCGCGTCTCGGGGGCCATGGGCCAGGGCGGAGAGGGGTGCAGGCAGGCAGGCTGGGTCCAGCACTGACTTCAAGAAGATCCAAGATTTGGGTGGGGGGTGGGCAGAGAGGAAGGGACTCCACCTAACTGGGGGATCAGAAAAAGGAAGAAGTAAGCTTAGATCTGGAGCTTGATGGACACTGGGTTTTGACAAATAGAGGGGTTAAATGGCACTTTGTGTGGAGGGCATAGCGAAGATGGGGACGCTGAAGAGGAAGTCTGGATCTGTGGCTGTCGATGGCTGTGTGGTGGTCTCGGGCTCTTGAGAACAGTGTGGCAGGAGAGGAAGCAGCAGAGTGAAGCACTTCGTCTGGGTGCGCTTCGGATGAGGCTGGAGGGCTCGGCAGGAGTGTAAATGTCAGGACAAGAGCTTGAGTTTTTCTCCCAAGGGCCAAGGGATCCAGGGAAGGAGAGCACCTATTATAAAGCACCACGCACCCCATCCCACCCCACCCCCCCCACACGCTACAGAGCGGCTGGAGCCCAGGAAGGGGCTAGGGTGTGGGCTGGTCCAGGGCACACAGCCCAAGAGTGAGTGACAGATGTGACAGCCCAAAAGAGCCTACGTCAGTCGCTTCCGGGAGGCAGGGACCACACAAGCCCTCCCTGGGGACCAGCTCTTGCCGGGAAATGGCAGAATGGGAGAACCGCTCACCCCTCCCAGGTCCTCAGACGGCGGGCCAAGTGGATCAGGAAGCCAGGGTGACAGTCAGGCCCACCTTTCCTGGATCTCCTCGAGCAGCCCCTGCCTCCTTCCAAGAGGACTGGTCTTGCCAGGGAGTGGGAGGCAGAAAACACCCAGAGCAGGAGTGGGATGAAATGGGAGATTGGGACTGACACTGCTATGTATAAAATAGATAACTATTGAGAAGCTACTGTATGACACAGGAAACTCCCCTCAGCGCTCTGTGGTGACCTAGATGGGAAGGAAATCCGGAAAAGAGTAGACATATACATACATATGACTGATTCACTTTTGTACAGCAAGAAACTCACCCACCATTGTAAAAGTTAATTAAATGGGGGGAGCGGGGAAAAACACCTGGAAACCCCAGTCCCCTGAGTCAGAAGGCTGTCTCTCAGGGTGGTGTCTGAGGGGAACAGACCTCCCCCAAGAGAGTTCAGGGGCACAGCACAGTTCCATCTGCCCAGTTCCTCCTCCTCACCACGACCTTCTGTCCTAGCAGGCTGCTGTCCTCTCGGACTCTGCCTGCTCCCACTTCCTCCCCACTGAGGTCACCCCAGGGGGGCCTCTCACCCCTCTCCACCCATGCACATCTTCTTCAACCACCAGGGACTTGCTCCATCCTTCATCCTCCTCTGAAAATGTCTTCTATCCTGTGTCTCACCGGTCTCCCCCTTCAGATTGACATATGTATATGAATATGTATATGTGTATGCATCTATCTGTTTATGTGCCTACCTATCTACATCTATACACTGTGCCCCATGCAGTGAGCAAGTAGTGAGTACCCATTAAATGTCTGGCATGTGAAAACGTGAATACTGGAGTGGATAGCCATTCCCTTCTCCAGGGGATCTTCCCAACCCAGGGATCAAATCCAGGTCTCCTGCATTGCAGGCAGACTCTTTACCAGCTAAACCACCAGGGAAGCCCCCTGTGAAAACAGGAGAATGAAAGAATGGCCAAAACAAATGAATGAAAAGATGAATGAATGAACTTTCTCTTGCCTGTACTAATCTTGGCTTCTTGGCAACAATGGGGGGACCACTGTACTTCCTCCTCTGGCCTCTACCTTGTGCTTAACTGGTTAGCTGGGTGCCCCATGCTCCCAGAACATGGACTGCAGCCCCATGAAGAATGCTTGATAATTAAAGGTGATGTGGGTTACAGACTAGAGAATCCAAGCATCATCATTTTTCAGTTAGCCACAATCTGGGTAAAACATTTTCATTGAAATCAAATTTTAAGTTGGGAGAAATTAGTTTGGGGAGTTACGTTTTACTCTCATATAACTTTTATAACTTTATTAGGTATATTCACATTAAGAGTAGCTCACACTTGCTTGTGGCAGGCACTGATCCTCACGACAAACCTATGGGGCGGGTACTGTATTATCCCTTTTTATAGATAGGGAAGCCAAGCGCGGGGGTTCATTAATGGGCCTAGGCCACACAGATCACATGTGGCAGAGCTGGTATTTGAACCGGGACATCTGGACCAGAGCTCATATGCTTGGCTTCAACGCTCTATTTCTCTCTGAGTGTATTGGCAGGACTTCATGTTTTTTTCTGGGCCTCAGTTTCTCTCATCTGTAAAGTAGGAAGAGGGGATGATTTGAGTCACTGTCTCAAAGGTTTTCCCTTATAGGACCATTGGATTAAAGTTGTGAATTCTCTCTGGATGTCAGTAAATATGGAAATGCCATTGGGGCGGTAAGTATCAACAAATCAGACTGATCCCATCAGGGGACCTCTTAAGACATCTGTGCTGCTGGCTCCCCTAGAACTCAGCCTAAAGGGATGAGTGGAAGAACAAGGTGTAGGATACAAAGGCATGGCATGCATTTATTAAGCACCTACTGTGTATCAGGTCTATAACAGTTTTACTGACAAGGACACAGGCCCAGCAAAGGCAAGCAACATTCCCTAGGTAGACCAGCATAGAAGCAGAGGAGCCAGCGTTTGAACCAGACCTGCCTAGCTCTGAAGCGAGATGTATAACCTTTCCACTCCATGTCCATGGGTCATGCTAAGTTGCCTCCTCTTAGACAGGCAGTTGGGTTCTGGCTCTGACTCTCCTAACTCTCTGAGACTGAGCAGTCAGTGCCCCTAACTGTGCCTGGATTTTCCTCTCTGTAAAGTAGCTGTGGAGAAGGCAATGGCACCCCACTCCAGTACTCCTGCCTGGAAAATCCCATGGACGGAGGAGCCTGGTAGGCTGCGGTCCATGGGGTTGCTAAGAGTTGGACACAACTGAGTGACTTCACTTTCATTTTTCACTTTCATGCATTGGAGAAGGAAATGGCAACCTACTCCAGTGTTCTTGCCTGGAAAATCCCAGGGACGGGGGAGCCTGGTGGGCTGCCGTCTATGGGGTCGCACAGAGTCAGACACGACTGAAGTGGCTTAGCAGCAAAGTAGCTGTAGACTTGGTAGGTCCCTCAGTCATCTGCCTTTGTGGGGAAGCTCTTTTCTCTCTGGCCACCAGAGGGCACTGTGGCCTCAGTGGCTTCGCCAGACCCGCCTTTGTAGCTTCAAGTCCAGTGGAAGGACATAGGGAACTCTTAAATCACCTCCTTCTTTGCAACTGAGCATGCATAAACACAGATCACCATCTTCCCCCCATTTTACAGATAAGTAGACTGCAACCAAAAGAAAAACCATGGATTAAGAAGACGGAGTCCAGGCTGAGAAGGTGAGCATAGCCCTTAGCCCAGAAGTGTGACATTCTGCTAATGTTGATTAATTAACAGGGTCTTCCCTGCCCTGGGCCCCAGTTTGGGCTCTCAGACACAGACCTGGCACTTCTCCTTAAGAGCTTTTCAGTCTGTGGGAAAGAGATAGACAGGCAGGCCCACCATGACTACCATCCCCAAACTCCAGGGAGCCCAGGGAAGCCCTGCCTAGCATGATTTAGCACCTCTGATTACATGACATCCTGAGAGATGGGTGCATCATTCTCCCATTTCAGATGGGAAAACTGAGACTCAGGTAATGTATTAATATACCGTGTCACTCGACCAAAGTCACATAGCTAGTAAGTAGCAGAAAGTGAAAAATGAAGGTGTTAATCACTCAGTCGTGTCTGACCCTTTGCAGCCCCATGGACTATAGCCTGCCAGGCCCCTCTGTCCATGGGGTTCTTCAGGCAAGAATGGAGTGGGTAGCCATTCCCTTCTCCTGGGGATCTTCCCCACCCAAGGATTGAACCCGTGTCTCCTGAACTGCAAGCAGATTCTTCAGTGTGAACCACCAGGGAAGCCCAGTTGGGATTCAAACCAAAGTCAGTCACTCTCCTCTTACAGAGGAGCCATTTGACTAGCATTTTAATAAAAATTCATCAGGAAGGTTGGTGGGAAATGAATATTATAGAAAGAAAATGAGTTGGATTTCTGTCAAGTTTGAGCTTTATCGTGATCTGGATCTTGGGAAAGTCAGGGCTATGAGGGGCTTTGGTGGGGTGGTGAGTATCAGAGATGGTCCAGGCAGGAAAATTAAGGGCCCAGAGAGGGACAGGGGCCTACTGGGTGGTCCATGAGTGTGGTCACTGATGGATTGTGTGTTGCTTCCCCAGCCTCTGGATGTAGGAAGCCCAGCTGAACAGGCATGGCATGGGACAATGGCACAGGCCAGGCCCTGGACGCCCCGCCCACCAACTGCGTTTACCGAGAGAACTTCAAGCAGCTGCTGCTGCCACCCGTGTATTCGGTGGTGCTGGCGGTCGGCCTGCCCCTGAATGCCTGTGTCATCGCCCAGATCTGCATGTCCCGCCGGGCCCTGACCCGCACGGCCGTGTACACCCTGAACCTGGCCCTAGCTGACCTGCTGTATGCCTGCTCCCTGCCCCTGCTCATCTACAACTACGCCCAAGGTGACCACTGGCCCTTCGGAGACCTCACCTGCCGCCTGGTCCGCTTCCTCTTCTATGCCAACCTCCATGGCAGCATCCTCTTTCTCACCTGCATCAGCTTCCAGCGTTACCTAGGCATCTGCCACCCTCTGGCCCCCTGGCACAAGCGTGGGGGCCGCCGGGCTGCCTGGCTCATGTGTGGGGCCGTATGGCTGGCCGTGACAACCCAGTGCCTGCCCACTGCCCTCTTTGCCTCCACAGGAATCCAGCGGAACCGCACGGTCTGCTATGACCTGAGCCCGCCTGCCCTGGCCACCCGCTACATGCCCTATGGCATGACCCTCACGGTCATCGGCTTCCTGCTGCCCTTTGTCGCCCTCCTGGCCTGCTACTGCTGCCTAGCCCGTCGCCTGTGCCGCCAGGATGGCCCAGCAGGGCCGGTGGCCCAGGAGCGGCGTGGCAAGGCAGCCCGCATGGCTGTGGTGGTGGCGGCTGTCTTTGCCATCAGCTTCCTGCCTTTCCACATCACCAAGACAGCCTACCTGGCAGTGCGCTCTACACCTGGTGTCTCCTGCCCTGTGCTGGAGGCCTTTGCAGCAGCCTACAAGGTCACCCGGCCCTTCGCCAGTGCCAACAGCGTGCTGGATCCCATCCTCTTCTACTTCACCCAGAAGAAGTTCCGCCAGCGGCCACATGAGCTGCTACAGAAACTCACGGCCAAGTGGCAGCGACAGGGTTGCTGAGTCCTCCAGGGCAGGACACCTGGGGGCAGGGCAACCATTGTGATTGCCACCGTGACTGGGGCACCAGAAGCTCCACCAGCTCCAAAGCATGCAGAGAATTAGAGCTTAGCTCAGCTGGGCATAGACTGAAGCCCTCACATACCCCGAAACTTCAACAACTATTTATTAAACCCCTTTTCTGGACCAGGCTCCACGGGTACAGAGAGAGACAAGCCTGGGCCTGGTTCTCCAGAAGGCCCCAAGAAGCCATGGAGAATTCAGAAGTCATGTTAAGCTTCTCACAAAAATACAGTATAACATGTACTATGATTGAGGAGTATGCCGCATACTTTGGAGTCACCAATAAAGGGAGTAAAAGAAGATGGGAGGTGGAAGTGAGAGCTTCTGGGAAGGGCCATTTGACCTGGGTTTTGAAGGATGAATATGAGCTCTCTGGGGTATGTGCTATGTTCTATTCATTCAGTATATCTTTACTGACACTTTGTGCTTGGGCCTGATTTGGTTCTGGGGCCCAAGAAGAACCATCTCGAGCCCATCTCCATTCAAGCTTTCAGTTACTGGAGGTACGGACACTGACACAGTCGTGTCAAGGCTGTGACAGAGGGAGGCATGGCTGGGGGGCAAGGGTGCCCAGAGGATGCCCGTGACCCAGTCTAGGAGTCTCTTGAAGGGACTGGGGGTGGGGCATTTGAACCAGATGTTGAAGGCTGAGTGGGAGCTCTGAAAATGGAAGTGGGGAGCACGTTAGTGCAGCCTGGGCCATCCCTGTGCCAGGCTCTGCCCTGGGCAGATAGGCAGAAAGCTGGAGTGGAGGGCATGTGGCCTCTTGTGTGTGAAGGCTGAAAACATAAGAGCCGTCTCGTGGCCACCCTCCAGACAATGGCAAGAGTGGGGCAGGTGCTCCAGGCTGGGGGTTCTCAGCGGAGGAATCAGGGAGCACACTTTCGAAGGGGTGGGGCTTGAACTGGGAGGAATCTAAAAGGCAGAGTGGAGGAGGCTGCATCTGGTAGAAGGCACTGTGTCTCCAAAACCCAGAGGCAGAGATGTGCCAAGGCCGATTATAAAGCACCTGTGAGTTTCAGATAAGCCCGGGGTTGGGTGTGTGGAGAGGAGTGGCAAGAAATGGAGCTAGGTGGGACTAGGGTATTAAATGCCAGGAAGAACCCAGATCCCACCTGTCCTCCACTCACCCCTCCACATGTGCCTCCTTCAGGCTCAGGGTGTCGTTGGTGCCTGGAGACACCTCCACCAGAGAGCCCGAGGGAGGGAAAACAGCCCTTCAACACTGATTCATTATTTTTTTTTCCCCCCTGAGTTTTTAATTTTTTTATTTATTTTAATTGGAGGCTAATTACTTTACAATATTGTGGTGGTTTTTGCCATACATTCACATGAATCAGTCATGGGTGTACCTGTGTTCCCCATCCTGACCCTTCCTCCCACCTCCCTCCCCATCCCATCCCTTAGGGTCATCCCAGTGCACCAGCCCTGAGCACCCTGTCTCATGTATCAAACCTGGACTGGCGATCTATTTAACATATGATAATATACATGTTTCAATGCTATTCTCTCAAATCATCCCACCCTCGCCTTCTCCCACAGAGTGCAAAAGTCTGTTCTTTACATCTGTGTCTCTTTAGCTGTCTTGCATATAGGGTCATCGTGACCATCTTTCTAAATTCCATATATATGCATTAATATACTGTATTGGTGTTTTTCTTTCTGACTTACTTCACTCTGTATGATAGGCTCCAGTTTCATCCAACTCATTAGAACTGATTCAAATGCATTCTTTTTAATAGCTGAGTAATATTCCATTGTGTAAATGTACCACAGCTTTCTTATCCATTCATCTGCTACTGGACTTCTAGATTGCCTCCATGTTCTGGCTATTATAAACAGTGCTGTGATGAACATTGGGGTACACGTGTCTCTTTCAATTCTGGTTTCCTCGGTGTGTATGCCCAGCAGTGGGATTGCTGGGTCATATGGCAGTTCTATTTCCAGGTTTTAAGGAATCTCCACACTGTTCTCCATAGTGGCTTTACTAGTTTGCACTCCCACCAACAGTGTAAGAGGGTTCCTTTTTCTCCGCACCCTCTCCAGCATTTATTGTTTGTAGACTTTTTGATACAACACTGCCTCATTCTTAAAGGAGAAGTCAGCAGCTTGAGGAGATGCAGGGCTACCCCCAGGGCCACTAGGAGGCTGCTACATGGAGATCCTGTGGCCTGGAGCCTGCAGATCAGCCTCAGGGCACACTGCTTCTTCTAGGTTCTACCCCTGCCATCTCATCTCCATCATTCTGGCTTGTGTGTTCCTGGAAGGCTGCCTGGAGGCACCCTCATATGGAAGCATCTCAAACACAGAGCCGAACTTATAAAACCCTGGAAGGGCTTCTGTCTTGCTGTATCTCACTGTTCAGTGAACCCAGGGTAGGCAAGGTGGGAGTGGGGAAGCTAGAAGAAAACTCAAGGAGCCGTAGGAAGTGCAGGCATTGTTTATTCGCAGCAGCGAGGGAGACCTGCTTTACTCTCTAATGGCTGACACAGCAGCAACGACGACTGTGCAATTGAACTCCACGTGACCTGCCCCGACTTCACTGGACTCTACCCGACTTGCCCACTGCAAGAGCTTTTCAGGTGTTGCTTATATAGGTTTACAGAACAAAAATGGCCTGTGGTCAAGTGGGTCATCATGACATGCACGCACAATGCTATAAGTGATCTCAGCTGTTACATAACCATGTATTCACAAACATGGGGTGAGACAGCCTGACTACCTCCGTCTTAGCTAATTTGCTCTTTCCCTACAGCATCGTCACTGAAGGTCCCCAAGAAGGCAACAAGGAAGAATTATACCACACAAAGCCCTTCCAAGTCCTCTTCACTTGTTTTCCCCCTGCTCACGTCTCTTTCAGGCACTCATCTGCTGGCTCCTCATCCTCTCTGCTCCTTGTCCTCATATCCACACACAACCACACTCCACCCCCATTCCTCCTCTAGTCCTTATTCCTTTCTCCCAGATCTTAGTTTTCCTCCCATAGAACAGACTGGCTGGCCTGTAACTGCTGGTACATCACACAGACCCGGCACTGACAGAACTGGTCATGGCAAAGGGGGTCTTCTGCCTTAGAAGGTAGAACGGGGAGAGGGAAGGGCAGAGGGTCAAGGCAGGGAGGGGAAGGATAGAATAACTTAGTATTTTTCCTTTCACCCTGCCTAATTGCCAAGGCTGTTCAGCCACAGGGACATTTAGAGAAGGGCTCTGCAAGGGTGAAACACCACGATAATGTCAGAGGTGTGCTTACAGCTGGTGGAGGAATCCATTCAAAGTGCCCTTGCTGGAGAGTCTGAGAGCTTGGACAGAAGGTAGTTTGATTCTTTGGGTCATGGTGAGATGGATGTGTGGGGACATCAGAAGACAGAGACTGGTTCTTAGTCCCTATATAATGCAGAGCTGAGCCAAGCAGTCTGGGTGTTATCCATCTTGCCTCTGAGACCAGGCTCTTCAGCTGCCTGTCACGGGGGGCAGGAGATGGAAGAGCAGAAGGCAGAGGGCCCCCACCAGCAGCCAACGCAGTGAGTCCCAGAGGATTGTCCCAGCAACCCACAAGAACTGTGACCCCCTGGTTACTTTTCCAGGAGTGAAAATTGTGGACCACAGATAAATCCCATTCCTAGTTTTCCTTGTAAGACAGAATAGCATAAAGGGTTCAGACCCCAGAGCTAGATCACCTGGGTATGTATCCTGGCTCTCATTTACTAGCTGTATTACTCTGGACAGGTTATTTAACTTCTTCATACCTTAACTTCCCTAACTGTAAAATGGGAGTAATAATGGCACCTATTTTGTAAAACTGTTGTGAGGATTAAATTAACTAACATAGGCAAAGCACTTAGAATGACACCTGGAACACAGCAGGCATGCAATGAATGTTACTATATAGTGGTTTCACCTTTTGTGCACACAGCTTCCTCTAGGGTCCATCTCTAGGAATAGGCATAGCGGGTTTCTAAACAAGGAGCTTTAAGCAGAAGATTGCAAAGGTTTTTCTTTCTCCTTCACCTAGAAGGCAGCCAGTCTTTCAGGGGGAAAAAAAAACAAAACAGCACACTTTTTTGATAACAAGAGCCATAATCCATGAGCCCTATCTGTTATTGTAAGAAGGAAAAATCATTTATTACATGCCAGGACAGGGATTCCAAGCAGCATTTGGGGGCTTGAATTCCTCCTCTTCTCCTGCTTTTTTTCTTTTTCCTCTTCCATATCCTCCTTCCTCCCCCTCACTTTAACCCAAGCATTCTCAGTGATGGAGGGTAGGGGTCAGCATAGGGTCTTACCCTGGGCATGTCTACTTGCTGGAATGGGGACAGAGAAGACACAGACAGGGGTGGAGTGCAGTGAGGGGCAGAAGGGACCATGCTGGTTCAAAGGGGTCCAAGGATTCTTCTGTGGGTTAGGGAAGATTTTCTGGGGTTGAAGGAGTGCAGATGGGTCTTGGATAGTTGTAATTAGACTGACGGAAAGGGGGTAAGAGTGTTGCTGGTGTAGGGAACAACACAAAGGCATGGAGGCTGTTGGAGGAGGGATAGGAAGGACTGTGGCCTGATATGAAGTTGTAGAGAAAAGGGCTGTCGTCCAAGGAAGCACTGTGGAACCACGACTACAGTAACACCCACTGGCGGGACTCCAGGTACCATCAAATTGTTGTACACTCAGTTTCTCATTTAATCCTTATAATACCTCCTGTTACAGATGGGGAAGCTGGGATCTGAATGTGGGAACTGACTTACTCAGGTCACATAGCCTTTCTCTAACCCAGATACTAGATCCTCCCCTGCTTCACCCTCCCTCCCCTCCCCTTTCCTCTCTTCACCTGCCTTCCAAGTGCCCACTTGCCCCACCCAGTCCTAGTAAGTGGGGACCCCAAGGAAGTTGTGCCAACTACAGTGTCAAATCTTTTTTAGTTAGGCACAGTCTCCTAGCATCTTCCCAGGTGGTGCTAGTGGTAAAGAACAATGCAGGAGACCCAAGAGATGTGGGTTCCATCCCTGGGTCAGGGAGAGCCCCTGGAGGAGGAAATGGCACCCCACTCCAGTATTGAGGTAGGCTGGCTAGAGCCGTTGGACCAGGAATCCCTTTGGTGGAGAGGGAGGGTATTTAAGGATCTAAACTGGGCCTCCACCCTGGGAAGCTCACCAATCAGAGAATGGCTTGCCTGCTCACAGCATCTCATGAGTGCTCCATGGACACCTCAAGGCCAAGCTGCATGGTGCTGGAACCTGTGACCTGAGTCTCTGCT